GAGATTTGCAGGCATTCTTTATGTGCAGCTCTCTTAAGGTTCAATCAGGTTGAGGTCTGGACTTTGATGTAAAGTTGCTGCTGTACTAGGGATCATTGTCCTGTTGGTTGACCCATATTCTTAAGCTCTCAGATAGCTTCACATTACTCTAGAATACTTTTTACAAAGGAGTTTATGGTGACTCTGTGACAGCAAGGTGCTCTTGTCCTGTGGCTGTAAAGCAAGCCAAAATGATCACCCTGTTAAGAACTTTAAATTTTAACATGCCAACTGAGGCCTGTAGAGTTTGAGATGCATCCCTGTTTTGTTTTCGTTTTTTTGCAGTTTCTCTGAACATTACATGGTCTGACCATGGTCTGAATTGGCTGGGACATCCACTCCTGGGAAGACTGGTAACTCCCTTAACTGTCTTCCACTTCTGAACAGTCCTTCTTGTTGTAGAATGATGGACTTCAAACTGTTTGGAAATGGCCTGAAAACTCTTCCCAGATTGATAGGGAGCAACAATTGCTTCCTGAAGATCAATGCTGTTGTCTTTTCTTATTGGCTTTGTGATAAAACCCAAATGCTCACACTTACTGAAGATCAAATAATCAAGTGCATTTGATTAGCAGTACACGGCAACTATTTGGCCTCTTAATACCTATGGAAGGCAGCAAAGAACCGAGTTTGATTCATTCACCATTTTACAAGCCAGCGACTTTAGCAGTCACAGCGAGTCCACAGCCTGTTTTACAAAGTCCCTCGTGGCTCTGAATGACATAAAGCAAAGACCACCAGACATGATAAAATGCTCCGCTTGGTTTGGAATAATAATTTGTGTCTGAAATGGTGCACAGTGAACATGTTTTGAAACACACATATCCTAAAAAAAATGGATGAAAATGTAAATATCTTCATTTCAAAATTTCAGGGTAGCTGAAATCAAAGCAGCACAGAGAGAAAGTTGGCCTCCTTCAGCAAATTCTAGCGTTAAATTTTGAACATGCATCATTCTCCACAATGAAGGTCACACATTTGAATCAAGTAGGAGCAAGAAAAACACATTTTCGAGAGAAGAGCTCTTTAACTCTTGAAAGGAAATGACTCATGATATCACACTGGTATCTCTGCTTGAACTCGAAGACTGCAAGTTGTGAAAGGACAAGTGGAAGCTGTGGGCTTTAATTAGGCAGGGCTGCTCAAATTACAAGTTGTTAAGGCTTTTTGTGCGTGGAAGCTAGGAACTCGAAGGCAGTATTGGTCAGTATTGGCTGTTGTTTTTATTTCATTTGTCAATTCTGTGAGACTATTTCATTGTCCTCATTGAAAGCTATTCATTGGATGGTTATATTGTATATATTCAGTTTATATGTAGAAAATTCTAGTGATTCCTCTCGGAGCTACAAATGAATCCCTACAAAATAACCAAAGTTACAACAACTCTTTAAAGTGGTACAGCTCGAAAAAGGGCATTATAAACTTCTTAAAGGTAATATGTATTAAAGCGTACAGACGATTTATTGATTGGCATCCAAGTGTAATTCTGAATTAAATAAACTGAATCAAATTGTGTTCATTTGAGTAACAGCAGCCATGGCATCATTATTTAATAGGACTTAATTCAATTGGGGGGGTCCTTGACATGAAAACCTTTGGATGTCCCTTGAATTAGATTACTCTTGGATCTAAACGGCTGAGAGAGTGAGATCAGAAAAAGCATCTCAACAAAACAGTCTTTGTCCTCATTTCTCATTCAAGTGGAGAACATATTCTGACAGTTACCTTGATTTAATAAAGTAGACTTTATTTAGCTTTTTCTAGAACATCCTTACCATTATTAATAATACTTAGGGACCAGCTGTAGCGGTCTCACAGAGACATGGTTTGTGGTAATAGGTTGGACTGGGATAATAGACACTATGAAGCTCTGAGTGGGAAGAAACTAAAATCTGGCTCGGGCTCAGCAGTAATTAAAATGACATTTTCATCACTGGAGTATGTTAATAATGAAATCTACTTTGATGTCCACATAGAAAGAGAGTTTCAGAAAGCCATTTAGCCCCAAAGATCAGTCCGTTAAAAATAAAAATAGCTAAAAAATAGCTAACCCAAAAAAAACTTGATCTTTCATGTCTTTGTTTATTAATTATTATATATTATATATTATGTTCCAAAAATATCTGTCACAACTTTCAATGAAATGCTTCAAATGAGAGCCCATGGATTGATTCCCTTGCACAGAAAGTACAAAAATGAATACTTTATAATTTAATTTTTAATTTACATTGCTCTCATTTTATCTGCTGCAGCTTCTCAGTTGGATGCCTCCCACTCTACCTCTGCATATAGCAGAGGCTCTCTCAACTATAAACCCATTCCTAGTCGCATATAACTTACATATCCAAATCTGCAGACCCTCAGTACAATCTGCATTGGGATCTATGGTCACAGTCCCAACACTGAGACAGCTGAAGTAAATTCCTCCCAGCAAGGTCCCTTGTTAATGAACTAAATCCCAGTAGCAGCAGCTACATCTTAGTGGAGCTCCTATAAACAGGATGTGGTGAAGAAAGAAAATCTCTGAAGGAAAAAAAGCATCTCTTTGTTAATATCAACACAAGCAAGTTTGTCATTTTGGGGGGATATATCTTCAGTGCAACTTTCTCTGAGGTGGACTAGCTTATGATTTGGTAAGTTCCACAGTAAAGCGTGGATATGTGGAAACTGAACATCATCACCATACTGTAATGATCGTATTTTATCTATAAATGATTGTATGTTTCCGATCTTTTCCTAGATTAGTGGACAGATCTTGATGAAATGTTGCACAAGAAACTGTGCCAATATCTTCAATATTTACAGAATAAAATATTAATTGTATAAATTTGTACATTTGACAGTCACTCAAGCGCTGAAAGGGACGTCAGATTAAATTGTAGCAAATATGTATATTTATCCATGTATGTATGTTTCCCGTGTCCCGCTGGGGAGCAGTGGTTTGCTTGTGTATTTAATGTATTCAATGTCAGAGTGTGGCCTTCAGTAGCATTCTGTACAGACCTAATGACAGCAGGAACTACTGCACATTTAATCCAGTGCAAACTAGATGAACTGTTTAAAAAAAAGTATTTCCAAATACAACTGGTGATGACTGGTGTGACGAAACCACCATAACCCACCACCATCCTTTCAACCAACAGATTTCCAAAATTACCTAAAATATCAAATCTGAACAGACTTCTGGCTGCTCAGTATTTAATACATGAATTATTACATTTGCACTTAGTTTGTTTGATGGGTGCATTTTTCTTCTGCAGCCCTCAGCTGAATGCTGTCTCCCTAAATTGGCACTCAGTCATCAAACAAGCAGAACCCCTGTCTAGGACCTGAAAATAAGCCCACCACAAAGGCTCCATCAGGAGGACACGTAATGGGGCCGCTTGCTTTTTCTGACACACGTGAGGTTTTGCTGTGTGCTTTCTGGTGGCACAGTGAAAAAAAGAGAGCAATTAGCCGAAAATAGCTAAACACCTGTAGCTGTCACGTCTCCCACACTTGGACATAGTATACATGACATGTACAAGTGATTCAGAACTAGAGTGGTCACCGTAAAGGAAGACTCTGAGGTGGTACACCATTTGATTACTTCGTGGATGCTGCTAGAACAAACTGTTACCTTCACCACAGGAACTTATCAGACTGAAGAAAGGCCAGCTCGACAGCCCTGTCCACATCAGTGTCCAGTTAAATCAAAGTGGGAAAAAGTGGTCTGTGGAAGGAGAGGCTGTGTGCTCTAAAGCAGACCAGTCTGTGTTATTTTAAACTGTTCTGATGTGTCCTAACAGTAAACATCACACAGAAAAATGAGCAACAGACAGAAAACCATTACAGTGGCTGTATGTTCAGTGCTTTGAGTCTTCTCTCCAAACAAGCCAGATTTTAAGCTTCTCCCAATAGTGCTAAATTTACTCTTAAAGGGAGGAAAAATGGCCATGTCCTCATCGTTTACCATGTTGTAGCAATCAATATTAAAATGTGAATGCCATGGAAATATCGGTATTAGTTAAAAGCAGCATTTCAAAGCAACACTTACCAGAGCTCCATTGAAATTGAAACACTAATGATATCGTACCTTTATGTTAGAAGATTTCGAGCCTTAAAATGTCATCGTAAGAAGTTCATACTAACAAGTACTTTAAAATAGTGGCCACACTTTCTGCTCTGAATTTGATGAAAATCTGGAGACTACGTGGTTTCTGCACATGAATATGATTAACTGGAACTTTTGGGCATCTTAATTATCTTCACAATGAGATCTGTGCTCCCTTCAAGCAGCGAAACAGTCAAGCAATGAATGCCATTCGGTATTACCCTTGATGAATCATTCGATCATGCTGGTTTTGACTGAGACTCACAATTTTTTTCAAATTAGTTTTGAGATTATGAATAATGAATGCGAACTGCTGGAGAAACATCTTAATTGTTCAATTTGTATTCTGTTTCCTAAATGCTTTGTCTAGAAAGTGTCCGCTTTGTGGAGAACCTCACAGCAGGATCCTTCATTCATGGCGCTCCGTGGAGGGCGGGGGTGCACAACATATTCAAAATAATAATTTTGGACCTCTTTGGTGTTTCCATCCCAATGCCTGTTTCTGACCAAACTTGGGATAACACGAGTGAGAATGCTGTAGGAATGTTAACATAAAGGGCATAATTTGAGTATATAAAATCTCAGACATAATGTAAGTCCCACTAGAAAAATGATAATGATGTCATGAGCGATATTAAACCATAAAGAGGCTCAAGGTCATCATAAATTTGTCATTTTCTAGCTGAGATGCACTCCCCAAGAGAAACATTATAGGAGATTAGAATGATTTTACTGGAGGTGACTCACTCACTCACTTCAGCCTTTACTGTATCCCTTGTTGGAGGGAGAGAGAGCGCGAGAGAGAGAGAGAAAGAGCGCACCTCTTTATTCTGAAGCAGAGCAAGCTGCAGCAAATGAGTGCGGCTGCACAACAGCGGGACTCCCTGCAGGAAAAGGACTCAAACAGGTGCATCTGATATCTCCAACAGGTACTTTTTCATTTACTCTGCACTTCAGAAAAATTGCCAAGTGGCTGATTGCGAAATTTGACTCAGATCTTCTTCCTTTTGAGGAAATAAATTTTCAATCCGAGGTCGACCACTTCAGGTTAAAAATAGGTTGATCCTATTCATGTTTATGAATGATTTTGGATCCCTTTTGTATCTTAGAGAAGATGTGGTTGCATGAATCATTCTGAGCGGCCTGATCAGAAAAGGTCAGTAAGGAACTTGGTTGAGTCAGTAAGGGAAGAATATCTGCTCTGATCATGATTTAATTAGCTTCCTTGGGAAATTACACTTTTATGATTGTTCACATTCAGTATGATGAATGCATAATGAGGCAGTCGGCCCATTAATTATTATTTTTATTATTACTATTATTTGCTTAATGTAATGCAATATGCAATATGCAATATTTTTAAATTAAAACAGCAGCTTAATATATAAAAATGCAAAACAAAACAAAATAAGGAAAATGTGTTGGGTATAAACTTAATGTATACCAAATCAAAGACATTAAATTGTAACAAAATTACATGAAAGATGTACATGTTATTAAATGACTTAAAGTCTGAATTTTGGGCATAAATATCTTCTTTTCTTGGTTGTATGAGTTTTTTAGATGAAACAATATTTGTAGCCGTTTTTTCATGTCAATGAAAGTTGAAACTGTAGCCAGTGCTCATGCCAAAATTACACCATTCAGCCCACTTTTGACTACAGGTGTTATTCATAGACTCCTCCTCTGATCTTACAATTTTCTGTGGTTTCACTCTCATTTTATTCAGTGATTTTTTTCTTTTCTTCTCTCACAGCCAAGTCTCTCATTCAGCAGTCACAGAATGTGAAACGAATCTGCATTCATGCCCATTTTCACACTCTTGCATAACATCTGATTGTGTGATGCCAGTTGATGAATATTTCTTATTTCTGAGCGACAATAAAAATCACTGACGTCAGCCTAGATTAATAAGTGCAGATGTTCCAGCAGATGTGTGGGATGACCGCCTCTGAGAAGTTACTATGATTTCGAGGATGATTTCTGCTTTTCATAACCAGAAATCATCCGTCCAGTCAATGTGAGCTTTCTTCCTTTTTTCAATACTTTAGATAATGGATCAAAGATAATTGGAAAGGCTTTTGGAGAAGTAAAGAGAGAAATGTGTGCTGAGAGTTTTGAAGATGAGCTTCAATTAGCCTTTTAAAATGTTCAAACACCCAGACGCTGCCATACTGGCTTCAATCAAAATGTTGATTAATAAATTACACAGAAATATTAATTGAGTCATGCAAAATATGCTTGTTATTTCCGCAGCTATGGACTGGGAAAGATCACTGAATCGAACCAAGGTGAACTTTTCTACTCCAGCCTCCTCTTCATCTTCGCTCTTGCCTGACTCCTCGTCCTCCTCCTCTTCCTGCTGCAACTCTTCTCGCTCCATCTTCTCAGCCTCCCAGTTCTCAGCCCCCTCTTTCTCTGGGCTCGACCTCCTGTTTAACCTGAAGCTCATCTTCATCCCTCTCTACTCTGCTGTGGTCCTGGTTGCGTGCTCTGGCAACCTCCTCCTGCTCTTCCTCATCTGGCACAATAAGAAAAGACACAACACGACCAATTTTCTCATCAGCAACCTGGCACTCGTCGACCTGGTGATGTGCGTCTTCTGCGTCCCTTTGACCGCGTCCTATGCATTTGATAAGCGCGGATGGGTGTTTGGATCCCACATGTGCCACTTTGTCACCGTCATGCAATCCACAGCTGTTTACGCGGCCGTCCTCTCCCTCATGGCCATTGCGGTGGATCGTTACGTAGTTGTGGCTTATCCCATCCGAAAGAGAGCCAGCTACCGCTTCTGCTGGGTTCTTGTAGTTCTGATCTGGCTCTCCTCTCTGGCTTTATCCATGCCAACGGCACTGCACACGGTCTACCTGGACCTCCAGGCGGCAGGCCTGCAGATGGCTGTGTGTGAGGAGTTCTGGGATGGCCAGGAGCAGGGTCGCCTCATTTACTCCTGTTTCATTCTCTTCTTCTCCTACTTTGTCCCACTGGTTGCTGTCTCCATTTCCTACTGTGCCATTTCCTATCAGCTGAAACACAGGATGACTTCGAGCTTGACAGCATGCACGGAGCTGAGATCTGCACGGGCCACCTGGAGCAGACGGAGGAAGAAGACCTTCTGCCTACTGCTGGTGTCCGTTCTCTGCTTTGCCTTCTCCTGGCTTCCTTTACAGGTGAACAAAACATGAGATTGCTGGTTTGAAGAATATGCAAATATATGGGAATCTAAATTAGGAGAAGTTCCACCTTATGAATCAGATCTTAGCAGGTCATCTTAACTTTGAGGGAGGGATAAAACAGGGAGAAACAGCCAGCCTGCCTTTGTCCAGAGGAAACACACTCTGCCTCAGCAATAAACACATCTCAGTCTGCACACAAACTGACAGTTCAATTGGGTACAGTGACTTGATGTTTAGAGTTTTCAAGTCAGCCAGGAAAGACTCTTTATATGGTGAAGAAATTGGCATTTTCTTTTCTTTTCTTTTCTTTTCTTTTGTTTTTTTTTTGTGCCAATTTAGCAATTTTACTTTTTCTAGTTTGTATTTCTTTGCTAGACTATCTGTTGGCAGTAGAAAAATGGCAATTGTCCCTTGAATTAATGTTTTGGATACCGATGTTTACTCCACAGGTGGTGAACCTGATCCGCGACCTGGACACAGACTTCTCCATCCTGGGGAAGAACTATATCAACGTCATCCAGGTGTCCAGTCACCTCTTTGCCATGAGCTCCGCTTGCTACAACCCATTCATTTATGCTTCGCTGCATAACAAATTCCTCTCTTACCTGTGTCTCCACTTCCTGCCCTGGAGAAAAGGAAAAGCGAAAGACAGGCGACAAGGGTCAAGCGTCCTGACGGTGTCTCACAGAATGCCGCGCCTTTACACCTCCACCATTGCGGCAGATTTGCCGGGTGTTGTTGCAAATAATGCCGATCCTCAAGAAAACTACACATAAGTGACTTTGTGGACAAACGGGCACAAGAATGATATGAAGCTCAGTCGAATGTATGAGGCCAAAGAAGCCAGACGTGATCCAGACAATCTTCTTCTGCACTTCAGATTTAATCTTGTCAGCGTTCATGCTGACAGACAAAAGGAGTAAAACGATAAGTCATTGTTAAAACACCAAAACCCACAACATGGGGGTGTAAGGCTTTCACATACAACAGCCACACTGCTGTGCCGCTGGCTATCGGGGGATTCAAGTGTAGATGATGCTTATTAACCTGAATAATATGCTACTGTTTGCTTAAAAAGCCACTTTTAGCTTTGACTTTGCTTTTGTTGTTGCAAGTGTTTTGTGTAATGGTTCTCCATAATTAGATTCTTGTGCATTTTAACACCAACCTTACAGGATCTTTACGCAAGCCATTTAACAATGTGTTGAACTAATGTAAATATTTATTCACCTCCACCTTGAAAGACTGTGCATTAGGTTATTTCTGTGCATACTTCACGTGTAGTAGTAAATATGCTTTGTTGGATTTTGCTCAGTAAAGAGGGTAATTCAAACCATCTTTTCCTCATTCATTCATTTCCATTTTGTTAAGGAACACGAAGCGGTTCTGAAATAAATAATACCGTATTTCCATCATTCATTTCTGGCCTTGAATCGTTGAGCGCTTTTCAAATGTTCAACTATAGCTGTGGCATTTGGCAAACACTACGTGTGCGCGAGATCTGCAGCACTTTTAAATGTCAAAGCCGAACCGATGAGCGAGAGAGCCAGAGAGAAAGGGAGCGAGAAAAGGCATAATGTGTGCTGGTCATTACACAACTGCAATAAAGACACAACAGAGACCTTCCATAGATAACTATAGAACAGGAAGTTTGGAAATCCCGCCTAAAATAAACGTGTTTGCATTTTCCGACCTTGTTTGTTGACTGCCTTTTGCCACCTCGACTACTTAAGAGATGTCCGCTTATAAAAAGTGTGAATGTTGGCACAAATGAAGCTCCAAATTCATTATTGGGTAAATATTGATTTACTTTTCTCTCAAACAGCTTTTGAGATCACCTATCAAGCAAAGAAACAGAGTTTTTATTTAGATTAAAAATAATAAAACTGCTACTCATCACCCAAGTTACTGTTTATGAAACAAATAGGTTTCATAAAAAGAGCAACGCCATTAAATATAAATCGTGTTTTTGACAGATTGTTTGAGAAAGGATTTTTGTCTCATCACAAAGACATTTCTGTTAAAAAAAAAACCTCACACAACTGAAAAGCATTAGCAGTGTTTGTGACTGTGTCTGGTGTCTAACGCCTTTAATGTGAAATTATATCAGAAAATAGCACAGTCAATTATCCAGACTGGTATCTGCAAAAGGAAAAGTTAATCAAACATAGTTTCTTTGTTTCCACATATTCTTTTACCAAGCTAAAAAGATTTTTTGAAAACAAGATTATTGAAGGAAAACCATCTAATGCGTCTCATTTGAAACTAACTAAATGGCTTCTTTTCTTGAGATCACTTTCTCAGATTTTATCTCACACAGAAAAGCGCCTTGCAATTCATGGTGGTGCAGCGGCTGATTAGACACTTTACACAGTGCTTTTCAAGAGCAATTTGCAGAGCACAAAGTGTATATTTTGTGCAGCTGATGTCAAAAGCAGACTGCTGTGTGAATATATGAGTTGACAAGTGAAGATAAAGAGGAGACAGCTTTTCATCTTATCACAGAAACACAACAGTGGTCATCTCTGCTAATGGCAACAACTGTCCACATGCAGCACACTGCAACTTTGTGCTTCCTGCTTAGCCTTGAAGTGTCAAGGACGACCTTCATCTGAATGTAAATGTGTGCTGCCCTTACAATCATCTTTGTCATGTTGTTGACATTGATCGACTGTGTTTATAATTTCCGGGTCCCCTTTCATGCTTATGATCTGAAGATTGTTACAATGAACTCTATACATTTAAAATATTCAGAATAAAAATGAAGCAGCTGCATCCTGAGACCTATAATAATGCAGAGAAAACAGAAATTGGTTTATAAAAGACTTTTGATGTCTGCTCTCACTGAAAGAAAGAAAAAAGCAGCATACAACAAATGACACAACTCTGAAATAACCTTTCGGGGCATTTTAAACTGAAGAAAACAATTTACAGGCTTTCACTACTGTATTGTGCTTTTTTCTCTCTCTAGACTTACAAGACTCTTAGTAAAAAGAGAGAGAGAAAAAACAAAACAAAACAATCCTTACCTGGAGGGTGCAATGTTGAGAGTAGTTTTTAAAAAAAGAATCACTGAGCATTTTAAGGGAGCAAGAAAATGCTGAAGAGCAGAGAAGTAGCAGCTTCTGCAACCATTAGAAGAGGATTTTGCAGAGATATAACAGCAGCAGGAAAAACAGGCTTTGAATAAATTCTGGGAGAATCTGCCCCTCAGCAGAATCAACTCAAGACCAATTGCCACAATAATCTGGAACTTTCCAGAAGATGAAGCCCCTGTGCCTGTGAGTCAGTACATCAGAGTGTAGAACACTACAAAGGTTCAAAAGACACGACAGCAGTGCAAAATTGGATTGAGTCAGGCAGCGGAAAGCCTTACAGGTGTGTAATTTAAACACCTCAGGACCTCGAGCAAAATCCACTTGCTCTTACCACATTTCTTGCAGCTATCTGACAAGATATATAGTAAGGAAATCCCATTTGAGGCAATTGCTTCACCTTTCTGGACAGTTTTGGGACGAGGGGAAATCTTTTGTTGGAGAAAATTTAGAGAAAAAAGCATTTTTTACTTTGATCTTGTTCCTTAAATGGTCATTTTTGTGATTGACTACAGCCTGTTATTGTAAAAGGTGTGACTAAGTCAGGCTGTACCAAGCTTTGATTCATCTACGTACTAATTTATACCTATACTCAAGTCCTTTTTTTCATTTAAATAATTAGACTGGGTTTGTAAAGTTTACATTTGTACTAACTTACAGCTACTTTGGCAAAATATCAAGTTCAACTGTACATTTTGAACAATTTCAACTACTCACTAAGATTTAGGTTTTAAAATATTTTTGTGATTCAAATAGCCGGGGAGGAAAAAGACATTTAAGCATAGTAAATTAGTTTAATGTGACGATTTTTAAGCAAAAAATTTAAAATTATTGGAGAACAATTTTATCCATTGTCTTTGTCAGATTTTGACTCACCATGCAATACCACATGGAAAGCGCCTGGTTGACAATAGCTTCATTTTTCAGCATGACAATGAACGCAGACACACTGCCAGTGCAGTGCAAGGACACCTGAATAGAAAAATACACAGTGGAGTAGTATCATTCTTGGACTAACTTCACCTGGGGCCCAGATGTCAATGTTTTTGAAGTGCTGTGGGATCAGACAGAGAAAGGAACAAACCAACTTCCAAAGAAGAGCTTGGAAGTCCCAGATAACTATTCCTGAAGACCATTGAAGAAATGACAAGAAAACTTACATAAAGGTGTTCAGGCTGTGTTGAAGAATAAAGATGGTCACACTAAAGTTCAAACTCAGTAGAGCTGTACAAACTCAGTTTTTGTCTATATATTGCATTTCTATGTATGTTTTTACATGTTTCAATAAATCATGTGCCTATTTTTTATTGTCCTAGCAGAATATAGGCAGATCAAGACTTTTGCATGGTACTCGATCCATTATGATTAAACTGTTTTAACACATCTTCTCCCCTTTGATTTTCTTTCTCTCCCTCTCTTTCTTTCATTCTTTTTCCCTGTCCTATCCCCCAGTCATGTCTGTCCCGTTTGTAGCAACCGAAAATAAAATAAATTCATAATTATAATAAAGGTCAATCAAATGGACCAATATGGCAAGGCCATGATGATCCACTTGGTAAAATAAATCTGCTTGGCATCTTTCTTGGCCTTAAGACAACAATTCTGATGGCTAAAGATCCAAACGGGACACAAAAAAAACCAAAAAAAAACAAAAAACTGTTTTAACACACAACCTTTTATTACGGAGTTTTGTCAGCTTCTATAAATTAAATACTGCCAACATGTGTTTGACTCTTTCAACTTTTTGCCCTTCCAATTTTCACTTTCTTTCAGTTCAGTTAAATTTTACTTATATAGCGCCAAATCACAACAACAGTCGCCTCAAGGTGCTTTATACTGTATTTCAGGACCCTATAATAATACAGAGAATACCCCAACAAATAAATGTCCACTATGAGAAAGACAGGACAAAAGACATAAGACAACCAGAGATGAATAATTACTAATGATTAAATGCCAAATTATTATTGTTATTGTTATGATTATTCAAGACCTTGTATGTGAAGAAGAGGATTTGAAATTTGAGTGGATTTAACAGGGAGCCAATGAAGAAAAGCCAACTGGGAGATTATGCTCTCTCCTTCTAGTCCCCGTCAGTACTCTTGCTGCAGCATTTTGGATCAACTCTGCTTTCTGGTCCCAACTCTGGATAGTCATGTTTTTTGGGGGTCATCAAATTTAGTCAGATTTCTACAAATGAGTGCTGCATCCAAAATGTTATGGCGGACATCTCTCATAACATGACCTGTTTTTTCCCAGAAAATCTTTCAGTTATCTCTAAAGTGTTTTCTTGGACACCAGAGAAGGCCAGAGAAAACTACAGTCCGAGAGACATTGTTCTGGCAAAACTACACACCTGTTCACTATGAATTTTAGTGACCTCTGACGGACGTAACTGGGTGTCAATACCCTAACGTAAATTGTTATTTAAAGAAATCTACCAGGCCCAGACAATCTGCTATCGTTGGTGGCTAGCTTCAGAATTTTCCAGAGTACAGAGCCTGTCCTCCAGAACGGTAAACAGGCTACATTTATAACTAATATGATGCTTGTAATAAGGAAGCTTAACAACAACAATAAGCTTAACAGCTGCTACTAAACAGGAAAGTGTGTAAGGGACAGGTGAAAAAAACATGTTGCTAGTGACTCAGCTACAAGCTAAGCTAAGCTATCGAATTCTTACAGACAGAATACTGTGAATATAAATAGCAGGTGATTCAGCAGAGTGTGCTCTAGACAAAGCACCTGGATATGACACTATGTTGTTATCTAAAGGTTGTTTTTTTTTAATTAAACAGGCTACATAAAACACCACCGTGAGCTGTAATAGGAACATGAAGTGATACGATATCTCAGCGGGAGCTAACACAAAGTAAAATTTTATTTGTATAGCACCTTTCAAGTCAAAGATCACAAAGTGCTTCACAACAAAATGCCAGAGCAGTAAAAAAGAGAAAAAAAGAGTTAACTAAATGCTAGTCTACAAAGATGGGTTTTTAGTTGTTTCTTGAAAGAGACCCATGAGTCCACAGATTTTCTCATTCCTATTTAATTAGTGTCTTTTCTACTTCTATTTTAACTGGTAATGTGTCAATTTTAGACATTTTCACCATATAATTGTCCAGCTATATTTATCCCTTTTGTTTCGACTGCTTCGCATTTGACTAACAAATCATTTCTAGTGCTATTTGCAAAGCAATTTAACTGGTAATTTAGTACTTGTAGCTGCTTTAACCCAATAAGTGTCTATCCATTACCTTTCAAACCTTTCTGACTCTGTGTGTGTATTTGAAACTAAAACTATTTATTCCTAATATTTAACTGCTTCAGATCCACTGATTTCTCTCCCTAACTGCATTAAGCCTTATTTGGGAACCATAAATCTTGTACTGACAGTCAGTCCAGATATTCAGTAAAGAAAGTAACATAGTCATAACAGGAATTTGCTGCACAACCACTGAGAATTCACATCATATACAGACTGATGACTATATAAATGCCATTCACACAGACATGTAATCACACTAAATAGCCCAGTGTGTGAGCTGAAGCAGATGAGCTTTCTGACTCACACATGCTTGCTGTTACAGATGCAAATCACTTACCTGCTCATGCCATTTAAAATCTCAGAACCAAATTTAGCTGTGCCAGAGGCATCATGCATATTCATCACAAGCCTAATTATCGAAGTTAGATGACTGATATCTCCTCATTGCTCCTTTCGAGATGCTGCCTCTCTTGTCTTTTCCATCATGATCTATGCAGCACAACAGACAAAAGGGCTTGTATCCAGTTCAGTTGAAAAAGGGGATTGAATGAAACAAAAAGCACAAACAAAAGAGAAAGATTTGAGGCTAAATTATTTTTATGCATGGTAAAAAATATTTTACTTGTGATTTCCAATCAAATCAAATCAAATATGCAATAAAAACTGATGTAAAGAAAAAAAAAAAAGACTGAAAGAGACGAGATCAGCCATGATTATGTAGGTTTGTGTGTTTACCTTTTTCCACATATGCATGTTACACATTAATATTTATCTCTGAAACCTTTTAGTAAGTCTGTGCTTTGATTATTGCAATGACTTTTTAATTTATTGAAAAACAAATCAGATATTTTAAAAAAAAAATTGTCCAAGTGGGCCACCATGTGGGCAAGAAGCATTACTGCATCCATAATAACATATGTGTAGGTAATAAAAACTCAGAAGCTTGTTCAAACTCATATATTATTTATTACAATTAAATATTTTTCTTATATTACAGGTCCATTTGAAACCATACAAATAATCTGTGCTGTGATTAATATTTCCAAGATATTTCCAAAAAAAAAAGCCATGCAAAGAAACAAACAAATTCACATAAGAAGTACACCTGGGAATGAAGTTCAATTCATGGTTTAATCCCCTGCCCTCTTTTAGTCTTAGTCTTTTTGGTGAAAGCATTTCTTTGTGGTGATTCAAGCTCAATACCAAGAACTGTGTCATCTGATGAAAAGTGAAAGGCATTTGAAAGGTACGCAAAAACTACAGTGACTATTTGTACTTTTCTTTGTGGAAAATTCTTGGAATACATGTAATACAGGATAATGGGAACAGGCACAGAGGACCAATTAAGACACAAGCATCACACATCTTGATTAAACATAATTAGTTTGCTGAGTGATTCCTAAGGCCATAAAATGTGCGTGGTGTGGTTTTCTAATTCTGGATTTAAGTTGTTGAACCAAATCAAACCAAATATTTTCACCTGATTCAAGTTGGCTATACTTCATACACCATCAAGCAATATTCAGGATTTTTTTTAAAACGTTTGTTGAATAAAGACATGATAATATTTAAGTCATCGGGACATATTAAAATAGCATGGAATAGTTTTAAATTCAGATGAATTGAAATAAACAGAAATAAATGAATATGAGACATCTATTTAAATTATTTCTGAATTCAAACAAACAAAAAATGTCTATGCCACTTACAGAGGATAAGGAGCAAAGGAGATGTAGGCGGGATGTGAGCATTTTAAAGTGATACCCCACCTAAAATTTTGACTATCAAATACTACTGTGCTTGTAGGTCAAAGTCACAACAACCTCTTGATATGAGTATAAAACGTGGCTTTTTTCTTTTTCTTATTGTAGCAAAAATCATGAAAAGTCCCCAAATGAAATTTCGTGTCATTATATGAAACAGTAGCTGAGATGAGATTCCACTTTCTGTCAGAAAAGCAGTTTGAGAAATTGAAAATCCATCTGGTAAATCTTTTGATATTCGGTCTGAAGATTGACAATTTTGGTTAGGATTGCAAAGAATTTGTACCTGGGAAAAATTCCAGTAAAGTGGTTAGCTTTGGGACTTGCAAGAGAAAGAAGAATTTATTTATTAGAATGCTTCCAATGATCAATGGGCAAGTTTTTTTTTAATGTTTCCTTCAAATGGGGTCCCAAATCCACATACTGATCTTTGCATGGATAAATCAAAGTTATGGTAAGATATCCTGCTTGGCTTTTCATAAAGACCATAAATCTAAAAAAACAAACAAACAAACAAACAAACAAAAACAGGTATATATAATATAATGCACAAATAGTCAATAATGGGCTGTGATATGAAAAGAATAAAACAATCAGTGACACCAATCAATGTGCCAAATTTTGCATTGCTGCTTGGCCCCAGGTGATTGACATTTTGTGAACAAAGCTTTCTTGTGGAGAGTTACCAAAAAACAAACAAACAAACAAACAAACAAACAAAAAACAGTATGCAAGCTTGTTTATGCCACTTAAAAATATATGTTTTTGGCTATCCATAAGTAAAAAAAAAAAAAAGTGGATTATTATCTCAAAGTTTTGACCTAACTTCAAGTTTGAAGGTGTTTTTTATAAGTATTTTGAGTTATTTTCTGATATTTTTTGAATTAATAAATTAAAATGTTAAGATTCTTAACTTGAATTGAATTGAATGGCATAATAACCCCAAATTGTGACTTATGGATGGCAAAAAAACATTTTTTTTTTCCTCAATGGCAGAATGCTCTAAGGTCTGCATGTAAGAAATGAATCCGTAACCAGCTGGTTAGCTTAGCTTAGCCTAGCATAAAACCAAAAACAACACAAAATTTGCTAACAAGAAATTTGTTATAACACTTTGATTTATACAGACTAAACAAATTACATACATAATGTTACCTATTATGCTCACAGATGATAAGGGTGCATCTGGCTTTCTACCGCCCGCTCCCACTTCCAAGCGTTATAGATCGCTAAGCTAACTAGCTTCTGCTTTATATTTAAAGTACTGATATGAAAGAATTGTCAGTATTGTCATACCACACTCTGTAAAAAGTTAGTTTCTCCAAAAAAAGAAAAAAAAATCCTCATCTACTCTCAACTAGTTAAGTAGTTTGATACCAAACATCACTCTCAATAAAAATTTTGATTAAGATGGACTTTCAGGTCACATAAGATCACAGGTAACACTGAAATACATGTCAAGCATCTAGGAATCAAGATCAGCGCACTTACTAGCTTCATAACTCCAGACTGTGATCAATACACGTTACTAAATAAAAGGCTGGGAATGTTCTATAAGGCAGCAAAGATCCAGGGCACAGGCTAATGGTAAGTTAAAATCAGTGAAGCAATCAGCATTTAAAGATGAAGAGGCAAAGCTTCACCATCTCAGGGGAAATGAAAAGGAGGATGACAGGAAGCTGGAAAAGGCCAGGGTACATTTTGGTCCTGCAAGGTTTAGCATCTCTGGTCACATGTTAGCGCATGTCCTTCAAACCGCATCTGAGATCCTTCCAAATACTCCATATGTGTCCTCAAATCTGCCTATTGCCTACTTCAGTGTCTCAAAGCAAAATTGCACGAGCTTGTATTGGGTAAGCGAGCTGAAACACAGAAATACTGCTGCAAAGACTCTCACACTTATACAGTGCAGCTACGGAGAGACATCGTCAGCCTCCTTTCTAATCAGGAATGCAAGCCACTCATCTAAAACTCTTTAAAATGATCTTTTGAAAATAAATTATATATTTTCTCAGTACAGACATAAATACATATCTTTTCTCAAACATAGGAACGAATCATCATCACAGATCTAAATGCTACACTGACTATATTATTCACCAGCTCATCAGTGAAGAAACAAGAATATACGTGACTAACTGATGCCATCTGCCACTAACAGACACCCATCCAGATATTTAAATGCAAATATACAGTACGCTGACACCGGAGTCAAATCACACCTCTGGTAAACAGCTTTGAAAAAGTTAAATATTCCTCGGCATTGGCATAACAAAAATCCCCTTTAATGCTCGGCTGATCCTCGCAATGTGAAAGCAAGCAAACTAAACTCTCGCTGTCTTTTAGCGGTTAGCATGCCCGTGTCTTCACTACAGATACAGATACGGAATAAAACCTGCATCTCTCTCAAAACTTAAGTAGAGAAGAAGCCAAAAAACCTTTAATTGCTCACTCTTGTTATACTTTTTCACTGCTAATTAGATTCAATCAAACCGTTTGACTGAGAATGTCTTTCATGGCTATCTTTGGGGCGCGCTGCAAAGCTCTCCAAAATCAATCACCATTAGACAAAAATGTCAATTTCAATATTTGGGAAATTTCCTCACATGCTTGCTTGCTGAGATTTGGATGAGAACACTCTCTGTATACGTTGTAAGCACACAGCTGGAGCCAGCAGCTAATTAAGCTTAGCACAATCGCTCCAAAAAGATATGTATGCAGATATTTGTAGTCTGCTTGTAGCCCACGTTCTATCAACCAATCATGTTTGAGCATGCTTCGACTGCATGCATTTAGAGGGGGAAAAATAGGGATTGCTGATTTACTGAAACACACCTAGCTTCTTTAAAACTGATCTGTAGTCGCATGCAGTCGATAAACCTCTGACAGAACAGGTGTTCTTGCCCTTGACAGCTGCTAATTACATATATAGTATCCGACCATTGCCCCGAGAGTCAGACTTAGACTTTATGCTAAGCTATACTAACCAGCTGCTGGTGATTATTTCATTTTGATTAAACAGACATGAAACTGATTCCTTCTTATTTATCACAAGCAAGCACATTTCCCAGACTATCACTATTTCTCAGAACAGCATGAACACAGCTGCATTACAGTAAGATTTCTATATGCCGTGTCAGTAGAAAACGCCATGTTTTCACTATCAAATGGACTCAGTGCAGCTCAAAGCAGCAGAAATAAACTGAGTGAAAAAAAGATGTGATTAAGTCTTCAGCTGCACCATCCGGTGTGGCACAATATGCCACATATTTTCATTATCTATGGCATATCAAGATACTTTGTGTTATCTGTTGTCTGTCAGGCAGATAGTAGCATTATTCACATGAAACATCGAGTTCTCGGCAATCTAATCAAATTTCACATTTCTAAGAGCTACAGTAGCTTTTTCTACAGCAGAGTACGTTCCAGGTTCTTCACACAGCTGCTACAACACCAGAGAGCCATGTATGATAAAAGAAAAAGATTTACACTGCCATAGCAACTCTTATATATTACGTCAAACCATTAGTTTACTTAATAAATGCGTGACATGTAAGCATGAATGAGAGACTGAAAAGAAAATAAGCTGTCAAGCCGTCGTCCGAAACTCCAGTTCCTCTCTCACGGAGGCAGCCAGTGAGAATCTGTGGCAGATGAAACCGGGGTGTAATGTGATGTCATGCCTCGTCAGATACTACTGCAGGTTCTTGAGGAGGCGTCCGTAGCGGAAGTCGTAGACGTGTCGACAGAAAAACACCAGCTCTGGGTCAGTGTCATCGGGCACACAGTGGTGGGTGGGCATGGCGTTTCCAACAACAGGGGGCACTACAAGGGAGGCGGCGCTGTCGCTGACGCCTTCTCTACGGCGTTTTACCAAGGCACAAAATCTGGACAGGAAACAAACACAACATGAGAAACTAACCTCAAAAACACCCCTAATGGCTCAAAACTACCTGAAATTAAGAACACGACAGAAAGTAAAAATGCTTTCCTGCTTACCGACAATACTGTGCCAATGTTAGGACATAGCATTTGTCCTCAATACAGGCCACACTGTTCACATCCTGGTGACGGGATGCAAAGACCTCATTCTAGAGAAAGACACTCGGGTTAGATCCATACAAAAAAGCCCAAACAAACAAACCCCATCATGATATCCTCTTACATGTAGAAAGAAAAAGAAAAAAGTAGCGGGTGGGACTTTAAAAACGAAATCTCTCTTCTAAATTTTAAACAATCCCTCCTGCCTCACCCTCACTTCCAGATTTGCAGAGAAAGATGCTTTACGTCATCCTCTGTGACAAAGCCGTGTTCCCGTTCTCACACTGCTGCTCTGATGTGTTTGTTGTCTGTCAGCGCACGCTGAGAGTCGACAGACTTCATGTGGTTTAATGTTTCTAGACAGTGAATTGAACTCGTTCCTCTGGGAGATTACTGACATCAGGACGTGAACACAATAGAGACGCGTTCCGTCCGCGAGCGTACAGTGCTGTGCAAAAGTGTTAAGCCACCTTTCATTTCTTTATCTTTTGCTTCTAAGGAGTCAGATTTATCTTCAGCAAAGGTTTTCCAGGCTTTAGGAAGGTCTTCCAAAGTTTTTCTTTGTACATCAGCTGCTTTTTCACTTGACCATTTACAGAGGAATTTTTGTTGTTGTTGTTTGATGAGTTACTTAACACTGCAATAAAAAGACTTCTAACTCAAGAGATACACCATTGTTGTGTTTACACATAACAGAAAGTTAACAAAGACCCGCTTTAAATGTTATCTTCAGTCACTTTGTTACTATCTGCTTATTGCAAAAACATATAATTTGTTCCAATTTTCTTAGTTGAAGATTTGAAAAAAGCCAAGAATAACCTACACTGACAGGTATAAAAATAGTACTTCTGCACCAACAAGGTGATTTCCAAAGAGCTATTAGCCAAAAACTTGATGTGCCTCTGCTCGGTGCAGTGCAATGTGTCCTTAAAAAAATCTGAGTAAATTGCACAATGGGAGGACAAAGGAAAAAGTGGTAGGAGGTGAACAGTCTCTGAAAGTCCTTAAGAAAAAGGAAAAAAGCAAGGACCTGACCCAGGACCTCAGAGATTAATCTGGCCCCATAGTTGCTTTACTGTTCACTGAAGCCTCATCAGAAATAGTCTCAGGGGAACGGTGGCTGTCAAGAAGCCAGTCTTAAGAAGGGGAAACAGAAGGAAAAGGCCAAAAGAGAAAAGAGCCATCTGTAACGGAACAAAAGGCAGCAAACATACAAAAAAGAGCTTTGAATGTTCTTCAAGACGCCTGGAGAACTATTCCTAAAGACCGCTTAAAGAAATGACAGGAAAGCTTGGATAAGAGAGTTCCAAATATTGACTTTAAAGCTTGTTAAAATTATCCAAACTATATTTTTTCCTTATATGTTGTATTTCCATGTAAGTTTGCATAAGAAATCTTTGCAGTGATAAATAATTTCATAGCAAAATTTTACAAAAAATAGTGATGATTTAAGACTTTTGCACTGTACTGTACAACTGTGCATTCATTGCTTTGATACAATGGTTATTCTTATTCTGTAACACAGTTCAAGGTGTCCCAATACAAAGAAATATACTTAATGTCCTTGGGCAAGACAATGAGCCAATGAGAGTGAAGGTGAACACCTTACACTGGTATTTGAGTGAGAAACAGCTTACAGCCTGCTATAAATACACTGCTGAATTTTTCCTAAAACACCGTTCACTGTACTTTGTAAGCAGCTGGTGGTTTAACAGAAGTAGACAGCATACTTTTTGGGAACAATCTGCAGCCCTGGATTAATACACATTTAGTGCATTTTTTAAATATTAAATCAGCAGGATTTAAAATAAACTACATCATCAGGTTTTGGATAATTAGAGAAGCATTTTAGCGTGTTCCCTTTCTTTCTGTGTTTTAAAGTTTACATAACATGTGTTGTTGACAATAGAAAACACATTTAACACTATAATAAGAGTCATTATATTCATTAATAGTATCTAAAATCTCTTCTGGTTTAGAAAGCCAGCACGAAGCACACATTACAGCCATTAGTTAAGCATGGATTACAATTTTTTCCCCTTTTTTTAAAATCACAGCACTCAACCTGCTTGTTGTGAGAGTGTGGAAACCCACAATAATATGTGTCAGTCAAACACCTGGATCCACCTTGAACCGTGCCGTAACCTTAACCGCGCCAACACTAATTTTACAATTCCATTTGATCCAGCTACTAGAACTGCATCAAAGAGGCGAGTAAAAATTACATGGAAATTATGCAGTTTAAATAATTATGCAGATTATTATGGATCATGCAGCAGGCAGGATTTTCCAAACTTCCTCGCAGTGCACTACAAAGCAAGGCCGTTTAAAGTTACATGACCTCGAATTATATATCGCTGTAGCTTCTGAGTAGAGTGTGTTTCACCAAACAGTAAAATGTGGACCTAAAGTCAAGTTTCCCCTAAAATACTTTGTTATAGAGGCAGCGGATTGGCCTCTGGTGCAATTTCAGCAGCGCTGAATGATCATAGCAGCATTAAAAGGATATTATATGAGCACTTAAGGTATCAGAGAGTCTCTTTGATCCTCTTGTTCTCCCATCTTAATAGACATTTGGGCTACTTTATAGCTTTGTTAGGCCATAGGAGGACTTGAGCCTTTCAGTGTATGTCTCAGAGAAGGAGAGATATGCAGATAAAGGAGACACGAAGGTAGTAATCAGAGCCTGGCATATTGCACATAGTGTTTCTGTGAGTTATTTAACTCCTCCCGCCAGAACCGGTGATGCTTTCTATTAAACGTACGTGAACTGGCTCGACCTGTGCATCACTAATAGCCATGATTACAGGCGCTGAATATGCTGCAGTTGACACAAGCTATATTTTAGATTTGCTGGTCTATAATTACCCCTGACAGTTATTAGAAAGCCGTGGTTAAAAAAAAAAGCATTTCAGAAACACACGTCAGCCTTCTCACCTCACAATGTACACTGGGGTTGCGTCCTCCCTGTGTGTGTTCTGGACGGTAGTACCAAAGCAAACTCATCATCAGCTCTCCTGAAGGAAAGAAAAAAAGTAAAACATAGCACGTCTTTAACTTCACTTCTCAAACCAGTTATTACCACATAAATGCGTCTTCTCGTGTGGTCTGAGTAAATGCTGCGTACAGCGAGCATACTACCTGACTCTGGCTCTTCCCACAGAGCTGAGACCTTAGCCACGTAAGGCAGAGACTTTTTTCTAGGTCCAGATTTCAGCAGAACAGTGTCTCTGACTCTAATCAGCTCCCCGTCCCTGTGGACTCCCTCAAAGCACTTCCTCAGCACCAAAGTGTCCTCTCCCTGGGAACACAGCAGCAGGAAATACTGACTCCTCTAGCAGTCAGAAACTGATAAGCTTTGAGAGGCTGTGGAGTAAAAAGCTGCAAGATGTGATTTGTATTGAATGGCTTCTGCGCCTTGGTTGTCGGGGTTGCTGGATAAAATGTAGTAAAAAATAGTGAATAAGCCCTGATCCAACAGTGAAACAGGTGTTATGAATCACCCCCCATACTCTCTCAGGACACTTCAGTAAAATTACATCAGCTCTAATTAAAAGTGGTGCCATTGTGGCTGTGTCAAAAAGCACCAAAATGACTTTCTCTACATACCACAGAGAAAACCTCCTTCTCAAAGGACAGGCCAAATGGCCTCCAGCCGTTGGTGGATTTTTGGCGGCCATTCTTCGGCTGCTTGGCAACCGTTTGCCCTCCGTCACTGGCACAGCTGAGCTTCTGTTTCTTGTTTCTGTTGAGAGGGCAGACAGCCGAGCTGATGCTGCCGGTGCTGCGTGCGCCAGACCTTGACCCGCTGGGCTGCTTGGCACTCTGTGGACACTCCTTTGCCACCTTCAGCGGAGGCTGCGGTTGGCTGGGGTCAGACAGCGGAGTCTGGATGTGGGGCACTGATTGGCCGGCTGGAGGCACAGTGGGAACGGGGCAGCCAGTAAGGATTCGAGGGCTGGGACAAATGGGGATAGAGGAGGGGCTGTGGTGGTCATTGATGGTTGCTGGGTAGTCATCTGAGGAAAGAACAGAAAAGGTACGATAATGTGAAATGAATACAGAGTACTGAAACGAGCCCTGCATGCAGATTTCAGAGCAATAACAGCTATTGAATCGCAGCCAAGACACACAGTTTATTCTTCGCCATTTGTTTTCATGCTACGCCCTCTTTCACGTGGCTGATGAACATCTGCAGGAAACATCACGCAACCAAGCTTCAGCTGCAACATAAGCAGAGTTTCTGCTTGGCTGGAATGACAAAAATTTTCTTTAGCTATTTTACTTCAACCTAATCTAGTTTATTTTGTTTATTTGTCACATTGCGAGATGGTAGCCCTACTTTTCTGATGGCGCCGTAACTGATCATTTCACTGTAAGTATGCTGTACCTTTTGGGGTGCGTGCTGTATTATGGAGTGACTTAACCTTGTCTAACTTCCAGGTACTTTACAGGTATTTCATGGGAAAGGAGACACCAAGGACACTTATTCCTTTACACTCACTCTGAAAGATGTTTGAACAGTGATTGTGAAAAAAAAAGAAAATAAATTAAGTTAGATTTCGGTCCATCATGATGAGGTCACAGGCAAATTTTTGACAGTATTTTTTTTTTCTCTTATAAATTGCTGAGGGGGAGCAGTTCTCATTTAGATCAAATAAAATAACAGCTGAATAAGAGAACATCAATCGTGCACATCAACATGATGAATATTGAAAAAGGATCCCAAAAGGCAAGCTTAATCCACTCCATAATACGGCCAACGCCTTGAAAAACACAGTGTACTTATGACCTAAGACACTACCTAAAACTATTTACACTGTACTGAAATTTACTTGCAGTATAATTATTTCTTTGTTTCCTATAAAATCCTGAATTGTTATCCCCTCATTCAAGTGTACCTACCTTTAAGTATTTGTAGATAAATATAATTACATTATCATTTCAAATAAAACCCACAGAAATTCCATTTGATTACCGGGAATTGCGCCCTTAATTGCGAGCCATATCATAAGGTGTTACCTAGAACTTTGAACTCTGATACGAGAGGCACAACAAATACTTCGTTTCTTAATATTTATGCTGAAGTAGCAAAAAAACCAAACAGGCAGAGCCTCAATTAAGATCAATTATAGTCTTTACCATGCACACAAACTAGACGTTTCTCCTACAGTGGCACTGAAAAACAAGACAAGCATTCTTCTGTGTGAGAGGGGGGTTGTGCACACTCCCATGACACAGCTGCAGTGGTGACATTAAGGTGAAGTGATGATCAATGAACCCATTTCACAGCAGATTTGTGCACTTGTCATAGCAGGAAATATTCTTAACAGTGGCTCAGCTGCAGTCCCTGTCCCAGGCAGGAAGCCACAGCTGAGGATTAGATTACCAGGATCCTTCAAGCTCGCTCACCTAAATAGAATCCAGTCATTTTTAATGTTGTCAATTACACCTGTGCTTTTCCTGCTATGGCAAGTCAAAATCTCTGCTGACCGACCTATTTGTTGGCTTTCTGAATCTGAACCTCATCTGCTGCATTCATCGAATCCCTGAGAGTACATTAACACTTTTTTTTTGCTGTCCTAATAATTCTACCCAGTAAAATTTCAGACAAAGATTGCCTGATCCTGCTTGCCTGAGTTTTTACTGGAAAGTCCATCATTTTGTTCCATTCAGATTAAACTACTACTCATATATACTGTTTTTGTGATCCAACTAGTATTCTACACGTTTTACGTTATTGTGAAATACAACTGTATACCAATCAGTAATTGTCACAAGCTGTCCTCTGCAATCTGATGAGTTTTATTGTGTGCTCAAGAATGGGACTTTACAAAGACTGCTTGAATTTATTTATCATATTTTCACCAGCCAATAAAAAGATTTAACGTTGTGTCCAGAGATGGGCAGTAACTTTTTTCAGCTAACGAGTAAAGTAAGGGATTACTATTGCAAAAACTATTACCGTTACTTTCCCGTATGAACGCTGCGTTACTGCGTTACTAAAACCGTGAATTTTTGCGAGAATGTCTCATGACAGTGACGTAAGCGAGTGCGACGTTCATGACAACAGCTGTGTGCAGATCAACAATGGATTATATATCGATTGTGGGAGAGAGTATGAGCGTGCAGCGTTTAAAGCGTGGAAGTACTGACCTTACTTTGAGTTTGATTCCATAAAAAGTGACAAAAACATTAGGGTCCATCGTGCGTGGGAAGAAAACTTCTTTTTACAGCGAAAAAAACCCCTAAACTTCCAAGCAAGCACCGAGTGCGCAACAACGTAATGGGAAACTCACAGAGAAACTCGCGGATTCTTCAACTGACCGCGGCACACCTGCACCAGGGTAAACCTCCGCCTACCGCAATCCTGCTTTACAGGTGAAAATAGAGCAACAGGACCGCTGAGTCTTTGACTTTATTTAATTTCTGCTGTGTTTCACTTGCATCTATTTGAAAGACTATGGAAGCCCGTTTCCGCCACTAAAAAAAAAAAAAGCTAGCATCCATAACTCGAAATTTCGAGTTATTTTCTTGAAATTTCGAGTTATTATCTCGAAATTTCGAGTTATTATCTCGAAATTTTGAGTTATTATCTCGAAATTTCGAGAAATATAACTCGAAATTTCGAGTTACTTTTCTCAAAATTTCGAGTTAGCTCTGCCAATCAAAAATATACGTGAATGAGGTCGCTTTCTTGTTACCCGGAAGCATATGGCGCAGGACCGCGCACTCAAAAACGGATCCCAACAAATTAAAGTATGTTTGCTGATAGTAACACCATGTGATTCAGCTAATAACACAGGGATTTCATCATTTGTGAAGCCAGGCTGAAAACACTCAGCAATCTGTGCATTCACGACTGGATGTAATACCGGTAGCTTAGCTGTAGCATTTGTAGCTGAGGGCTTCAGCTTCCGGGTAACATGGAAATGACGTCATTCACGTAGATTACTGATTGGCAGCGCTAACTCGAAATTTCGAGTTGCTTTTCTCAAAATTTTGAGTTAATATGTCGAAATTTCGAGGAAATAACTCGAAATTTCGAGGAAATAACTCGAAATTTTGAGTTATGGATCCTTTTTTTTTTTGTGGCGGAAACAGGCTTCCATAGAAAGACTGAGTGTAAACACAAAAAATATTTTATTTTATGTGCTGGAATGTGCAGAAAATAGGTTTAAATATTAAACAAATTTCTTCCAGTCAGAGAATGTTGCATATAATTACATTTTTGCTTGATGCATAAAGTTAAAAGATTAAAACTAATAAAACAAGTTTTAAAAAGAGACTTTTCCATTTGATTACATTTTGTATGATGGATTATGCAGAACAAGTAGAATTGGGCTGAAAGATCTATCGCTTTATCACCTATTCAGGTTGTAAATCCTGTTTTTAAAAAGTAACTAAGTAACTAAGTAATTAATTACTTTTGAAAATAAGTAATCAGTAAAGTAACGGGATTACTTTTTTGGGGAAGTAATCAGTAATTAGTTACTGATTACTTTTTTCAAGTAACTTGACCAACACTGGTTGTGTCCCAAATTACTAATCCTGATTCATTTTTTATAGTAAGAAGGTAAAATTTTCAGACGTTCAAACATCCAACCAGCCCTTTTTCTTGCACTTACATACATTTATGTCTGTATTATTTATAATAGTGATAAGACATCTGTATTTTTCATGCATTATGTGATGAACAGCAGGTCCTCCTGCACATTTGCTGAGACTCTGAATCATGAGGTATTGCCATCTTTTCTTAAAAACTGATGCTTGGGTGAATGAGCACTTCAAGACGTGCATTTCCTCCATCCTTGCACTTCTTCCTCATTTCCTTCCTCGCATCCCCCGCTGGGCGAAGCCGAGATTCGAGGAAGAGACGAGTGAGGGAAGCGAGAGGGCCCATTAGCCAAATGAAATGCAGCTTAAGCTGTACACACCTCGAAAGATGCCACAAAATGAGCAAGAGAGCGAGGAAGCTGTCAATAAAACCGGAGGTGTATACACCCAAACAGTAATGAGGTCTGTTCAGGCAGAAAAGTGGCAACACCTGTGTGGGTGGACCACAGACCTCTTTGACAGCATACTTGTCACAACAGGAAAAGCACAAGTGTACTAATGACATTAACAATGGGTCTGTGCTATTTAGGTCTCCTAGTAAGCCATGACAGTATGACACAAACACACCCCACACACAATACCAGCAGCCAGTAAGTAAGCAGCCAAAAGAAATTCAGCCATTATTTATTCTATTATGTACGTCTGTTCTTTTCCAAGTTAACATTTCCACTGAGATTAAACTTGGTTCTCTAGCAGATAAAAGCGTAAGTCCTCACAGACAGCGTGACCTGGTTGTGACTGCTAGAGACCAAAGAGTGGCAGAGAGAGAGTGCGTGTGTGAAACTAGTGTTATTTTGAGATCGCATTCAGGTGTTTCTAACCATACCCCCACATATTCAGACACTGTTTAACCCCAGCGTGCTTTCCTGTTCAGGCTCACATCGCTCACTTTGAACACAGAAACTCACAGCAGACACTCGAGCCCGTACAGCTCAATTGTATTCAGCCGCACAGGCCTCGTGTTCACCGTCCAATGACTTTTATTCAAACGGAGACAAAAGGGGTCTTGCCCTTTATCTGATTTTTTTTTTTTCCAACTTCCCACTCAAGTGACATGCCAAAGTGGGAGAATATAAATGGCTCATATAATAGCTATTCTCAGCACATTGTACTCCTTTGGCAGCTGGATGAGCGGGGCTCTGCATGCAAAATAATATACCCATACTGTGCTGATGAACATTTAATACTTCTTCAAAACGCTTACTTAGATAAAAGGAGCCCGTCACAGAAATACGACTCCACTTGTGAAAACAGCTGTTTTAATGTCATTTATGAATCTTGAGGGCACTTTCTGAAGCCTAAAAGAAATCTGATCTCAGTTTGTATTTGGAAACAGAATACTGATGCAAACTTTGACAGGAAAATGTAATTTTGGTTGCACAAATGCCATAAGTAACTCATTAACTTGGAATTTCTACTAAATGAATTCTTGCAAATTAAACCGTGTGATCTCCGCTTACCTCTTTTTACGCTGTGGTTACATTTGATGCAGTCTGTGGGGCCAGAGGAGCACGCTCCTCTGTTAATTGCTGGAATCACACTGGTATAAGCAGAGTAGCCGTTGATCCTGCAGGGCTCTCCGTAGCACGGTTTCACTGAGGTGCAGCAGTACACTGGATGGCTAATCCCTGAGGGTTGGGGACCCGTGCTGGGGAGCAGCTTCGGCCTCTTGCTGCCGCTTGGGCATAAAGCGAGGGGTGATATGGTGGAGGCGGAGTTGTCCGGGTGGCTGAAATGGACGTAGTAGCCTGGGAAACAGGTGTACGTGTGCGGGCTGATGGTTATGGCCGCCGGGTGGCCGACAGAATGGTGGTGGTGATGGTGGTGGTGATGATGATGGTGGTGGTGGAACACCTCAGACAGTGAGCCGTCCTCTGGTTCCTTGAAGGTTTTGTCATCCAGGAAGAGGGCTAGCCTGTGAAAGTACTCGACACATCTCTCCTGGGAGCAGCAGTAACAGGAAGACACCTCCGTCTCCACCTGCTCCTCTTTGATTGTTTTTAAGGAGAATCCCAGAGAAGAGCCACAGTGGAGAGGATGCTTGACACACTCCTGCCCCCCTGTGGCACCCTTCCACTCCGGATCCAAAGTCTCCGTCTTACACAAACTGCAGCATTCCTGGATGGCGGGGCTCACCTGGGAATGGACTGGATCTTCTGTGCCCTGTTTTCTGTGCTTTAGTTGCCCCTCATGTTTGGGATGTGTTCTTCGTTTGGTGTGTGTTGTTCCTTTGCACACAGGCTTACCACTCATTCCATCCTGAGTCGTAGCTGCAGCTTCACTTCTACTCCCTGGCTTGGACTCCACCTTCCTTTGCCGTTTGGCCCCATATGGGGCACTGGTGAGTTTGAGCAGCGTTGCAGCGGTGAGGCCTGCTTGACGCCGAGGTGTCGGTGCAAGCAAACTCAACCAGTCGATGTTCTGAGCCTCAGCTGTGGAACGCTTTTGTTTTTTCGGTCTCTCTTTTTGGACTGCTTTCCCTTCCAAAGAACCTTTTTTGGTTTTCTGATCTCCGTGTTCAGTTTTAGTGAGCTCTTTTGCTGGCTCTTCGTTGGATGGCTGACATTTCTTTGCGTTATTCGCCATGAGTGAGTCGCCTTTGTAGAGCAGCAAGCTGTTGACAGCCTCAGCGTTAAGCGAAGCCATTCTCCTTCTGCGGGGCTCAAACATAGCTGAGGGCATCATGAGTAAGGCGTCAGATTGGTTGTTTTTTGGTTCCAGTGCTTGCTGATTGGCGACAGAGGTTTTCTTGAGTCTATGTTTGGTCCCTCTTTGGATGGAGTGTTGCTTCTTTTTAACTTTTACACTCCTTTTCTTCCCAGCTTTTAGTGCATTCTTCTCTTTACCAGCAGCTGCTTTCTCCTCCAGACGGGTGAGCAACACGCAACAGTCCAACGCATCTCCATCACTCACGGCTAGTTTCTTCTTTTTATTTCGGTGCAAGTCTTTCTTGTCCCTCTTTTTCTTCCTCTTCAGCTCAATCACCCCCCCTCTCCCTTTCTTCACACCATCCTGCTTTTCCTTACTTCCCCTCTCCTTCTTGGGCTTTCCGCATTTCGCCGTCTGGCACCGCTGAGCTTTCACCATATTCTCAGCGTCTGGGAGCAGATTCACTAAACTGTCTTCATCCACGGGTTTCTGATTGGTGGAGGGTTTCAGCTCAGACTGGGCTTTCAGTGGATATCATCATGGATCATCATCTGGGTCCATATGGCTCTCTGAGAAGACACAGATCAGACATTCAACATTAAAGCTTAAGCCACACACAGATGTTACTCATGCAGAACCTGAAAGTGACTTAATGTAACAGACAGGATCTTCTGATGCATTATGTAGCAACCAGTTTTACTCCGTTTGCTGTCAATTTTCCACATCCACAGAGAATAGGAGCACTTAGGAAACCCCTCTCCTTAACATGCAAATACGCTTCATGCTCAAGACAGAGGATCAGACACCAAAAGCACATCACACGCTGCACGCACATTATGCATTCAGACTGCTCTCCCTTTTTCTTTTAGATGCATTTTAGATTTAATTTTTCTCCTTTTACACTATCTTGATCACAACACGCTGATAACCACAACATTAAGACCACTAAAATTAAGTATCATTAATTAATACACTGTTAAGCTGAGAAACTTTGGGTCTAGCCATTCATGTGAATCTTACTTTGACACCTACCGCCTACCTAAACCTGTTCTTGATTGTTAACTTATTGTTCCAGAGCAACAGGTGTGCTGTTGCCATCACACCTGTAGTATGGGAACAACACACCTCGACAGCAGTGGTTTTCCTCTGGCTGAACAATGCAGCCAGCCCCCCCACAAAAAACAGGAACACAACAAAAATGCTGCAAAAGCGGTCACTGTGGTATCTGTGACATGATCATGACAATAGTGAGAAAGGGCACACAGCCAACTCTTCACATAAAATGCTCATATAGATAAATCAGAGTCCTTTGTAGTAAATGCACACATACTTACTTAGTGCCTTTTAAATTTTTTTACTCTCACACAGCATTTTATTCTATGCCTGGCGTACATCCATCCATCCATGGAGTTCAGTTCCTTGGCCAAAGCACAGATTGCAATGAGGACTGGAGCCTCCTGGAATTGAACTGTAGATCTTCTGATCAGTAGATGACCTGCTTTGCCTCCTGAGCTGGCACTTTAACGTTTAGGTTTAATATTGAGAAGGGCTGAATTTTGACCTAACCCACCATCTTGTCCTAAATAAGATGCACAAAAAGGACAAGAGGTGGTTGTAGCTCAGGAGGTAGAGCAGATCATCTACAAATCGGAAGGTTTGTGGTTTGATCCCTGGCTGCTCCTGCCTGCATGCCAAATATCCTTGGGCAAGATCCGAACCCTAAGCTGCTCCCTGATGCATCCATCACAATGTGAATGTTACACAGAAAACACATAAGCATTGAAAAAGAACTGTTTGTATAAATGAGGGAGGAAGTGTAAAGTGTTTTGAGAACTCGGTTAACATAGAAATGCCCTGTTTAAAAACCAGTCCATTTGCCAAACTGACCCAAATTTCCTTTTTTTTTAAAAAACAAAACAAAACAGGAAGTGAAACTCTTGCCATTTACATTTACAGGAGTATCCTGGGCCAAGATAGGCAGCATTAGCCTAGCATGTTATATGGCAGGAGAAACCAGAGCGCCTGTAGAAAACCTGCAGAAGCACAGGAAGAAAAAAAAAAACTCCACACATAAGTGTTTGTCCTGGTTTGAACCCAGGATCCTGTTGCTGTTAGGCAAGCACTGTGGCTAACCTCTGAGTGCAGTAAAAGCCGTTTTTGCTTAACCTAAACAAGCAGCAAGCTGTGCAAAACACAAAGCTCACAAATATGATTTGAACTGCGGTCTCTTGGCAGACAAACCAGTGCCTTCTTCTTCCACTGCCTCCCCCTCCAGCATTCTGATCTGGACTGTTTAAAGGAAGGCCGTTATCTCTCTGGATCCAATACTGCTGTGGCTGTTGTGTTCAGGCACCAGTGCTAAAGGGCACCTTGTTCGTATCACTGTGGCCCCACTGCATCTAACTGAATGGCAGCATTTGATGCCCTGGGATGAGAATGCACTGGATGCTCCCAGAGGACCCGTGTGTCCATGCCCTGATGGGTCTGAGCTGTTTTAGCCGCACGAGGGAGGCTTGCACAATATTCCACAAGTTCTTTTAATGTTGTAGCTGATCAGTGTATGTTTAGTTTAATGTGCTGTAGCTTCCACGTTTCGGTTTTTATTTTGATTCGAGTTTTAAAAGAGAACTGTTGGCTTTTGATCCTTCGTATTAAAAGACCATTTTGCCTTGAAGTCACATTGAAGCAGATTAATGACTCAAGCAAGTCACTGAGAGCCTGTTGGGTTGCAAGCACCCACTCACTGCTAAGACACAGAAGCCAAAAACCAGAAAAAGGTGAGGCATTTGAGTGATGCATTTAATATTTGATACGATGGATGCTCAGACACTCGCTTCTCATATTCTCATTTATAGTGTCAACGACACAACAAACTCTTTCAATTCACTGTAAGATATGAAATTAAGCAATGATTGTCTGACACTTAGAGGCACAAAACAAACAGTACCACGAACAAATGACTCATGAATCGATCCCGATTCTACAAAAAAAAGAAAAGAAAGGGAAAAAAACTGGTGGCAGAAACACTTGTCACACAATAGCCTCTTCAGTTTCCATGTCAACAGGCTGATACCAAAGCAGCTCCAGCAACTTTAGAACAAACGATGCATAACAAGACTTACGGCCCTCCGTAACTCACGGCTTTCTGCTCCCTCAACGGGAAAAAACACCTCACTTAGGAAAAGCCTTTAGATATCCTGATGACTCAACTCCGGCGACCTTTATGTAATGACACTCGTGTGTGCAGCAGAAGGAGATGGATCGTGCTTCTTGCTGCAGCAGTGGAACACAATTATGCTACTTGACCTCCAAGGAGTAAGTCAACATGGGTCCTTTTATTATAAGTGACTCTCCAGTGAGAAAATCCCTGAGCTTTCACAAACATACACAAATGATCAAGTTCTGAGCACGCTTCTTATTAATAGATTCAGTGTAAGTGTATGATATGAGTTAAGAGGCTAACGATACTACATTTCAATCACTATATTTCAGCCAATCATGGAAGCCTATTTCATTTACACACTAGTAAAGGTCTGTTCAGTATTTAATGTGAGTCTAAAAAACTCTTCACTTCAAAACACTGCTAGGTTTCAGATTTAGGGTATATACATATAAATAGAGTAAATGTGGCATAAGTTGTTTTTTACGATCTTAGGCACAGACATATGGGCAAAAGAAATAAAGGAAAATGACAAAAAATGTGCACAATTACTTTTAATGTTGAAGGAACTACTCATGTCATACACAACTACAAATCCCAGATTCCACAGCGACTTCGCAACTTCCTTTCTTCTTCTCAAATGTAATGCTTTGAATTTTTACTGTAGTATTTATATGGTTATTAACAGTGTTGTATGTTAATAGTTATTTAAATAAATTATTTTGTACTGTGCATGTATAATTATTCACACCTCGAATGTCTTAACATTAGTGGGTCGAAACATTTTCACAGGTCATTTAAATTAAGGGTTGTAGGTAGAGTAGTTCTTTACATGAACAAATGTATTCTTGTTAAAAAAGGTTAATATCATGTAGACTGATGGTTTCTATCCGGTCGTTAAGTCTGACGTCACTAGCCGTGTCTGGACCTAAACTCCGCTGCAGGTCCATATATCAAACGATCACTATGGCATTACTGAGAGTTGAAAAACTGTCTAAAGTCTTTCATCTTTAATAAAATGATCAGCGTTCTGCTCTACCAGGTGTAACAATTGAGTTTAACATCCAGGCATCCATGAAAACGGAATTTATGACATTTAACGGAGTTAGAAGTTAGCAGGGAGTTAGCTCGCTAGCTTCTATCTAAATACAATATAGCATGTCCTGACTGCGGGGTTTTGGAAACAAATTAAAACGTACAGCTCTGCTATCACTTCCAGCATAAACGAAGACAGAAAACTAAACAGCAGTGACGTTTGTAGGGTTACTGAAGTTGGGCTTGCTGGTATATAATGATGTGCTACGTGACCGCTAGCGACACAGCTATGTTAGCATAATATAAACAAGCTAACTTTTTTTCCACTCGATAAAAGTTAACGTGAGTGTTCTCGGTGGTCAGGAACAAATGTAATCGCATGGCAGGATGCTGTAAAAGGACCAAACTTCAGCCAGAGAACAACTGAGATAATGCAGCCACAATACGAGGTTAGTCATTCATATACTGCTGCATGGGCTGGGCTGTAGTTACATCCTAAGGTTTTAAAAACTGAGCTTAAATAAATGATTAGCGGTAATAAAAGCCGAGGGAGGTCAACAGTGATCACTGACTGTTTTAGGAGCTTTTTGAGATCAAATAGAAGAAAATACAAAACATTAAACATGTTAACAACACAAAAGCCATATTAAACGCAGACTACTTTAGACCCGGAAGTAGGATTCGTCACGTCATCACTTAACGACCGGATAGGAGCACATGCCATCGTTTAACAATGTCTTGGGTCGCAGTAAGTCTGCTTTAGATGGTTAAAACATTATGGCTCATCATCAAACTCTCTATGGAGAATATGAGTGGGATTTTTACGTCGAGAATGCCCCTGTTGAGACATTAATAATAATTTGAAATATGCATATTAACTCATTTACTTTAATGAAAAAAAAAATCCTATAAATCACCAGAAAAAACAAAAAACCTTTCACACTTTGAACACCGAGCAACAACCGCCTGCCATCTTTCTAAAGGCTACGATTGACAACAACTGATTGGAGCTGATGGTATTGTGAGACGCTCTTACAAGCCCACAGTAAGTGATGTTTATTATCTGTACTCATGTTGGCTTTCTATAAATCAAAGCGCATCACATCATGCTGTAATCTTTTTTGCCCGTTGTCCTGTTTTTAAAGTGAACCACTTAGGAGTTCCAACAGGGCTTTAATGGCTGCGATGGGGGCATTCAAGGAGAGTGTATGCGTGTGTGCGCCGGAGAGGGTTATGAGAAACAAAACAAGGATCTCATACACTGCACGCTATGAGCTGTCTCTTTGAAATTCACCTTTAATTATGGATTTAAATTTTTTAAATTTTACAATTAGGCAGCGCAAGTCTAAAAAAAAAAAACTACATATAGGGCTGTGCCGTATAACATCGTCCACGACATTGTGATATTGCTGTTATAGCAACGCCACACGTTCTTAGTGCGCATAATAATGAGACAAACCCGGGCATGCACCTAAAAAAGGCGAGCTACTTTAGCAACCTCCAACAAAGCACGATGCTTTGCAAAATAAACAAGAACACTGTTCCTGCCGAAGGTGGAAACAACAAACTAGTTTTCCACTCGAGGCTGAAAACATCGTCAACTATAACCGGGCTACAAAGGAGTAGATACTAGCAGCTGGTGATGTGCAACCCAAAAGTAAACAAATGACTCAAACCAAGCATCGCCGGCTGCTAGTTGCACTCCATATGGCAGGAAGAGCAAACGGTGGATGGAAATTACTGATGTGGTTACACGGTGGAAAATCAGTGCTTTAAGCAGCTGGTTAAAAAGTTAAGGTTAACTTAATATACTAAAGTTTTAAGCAGTTATTCTATATTTTTACTTAAAAATTCCAGGCAAAAGCTAGCTGGGACACTTTTGTGCTTACATTTGACTTCTGCCATGTCACTGGATATACTGCTGTGCCACTACTATCACACTATACTGCTGATGCTGCTTCTGCTGGCACCTTGTTTCAGTAGATTCACACTTTGATTTAGAAGGTGTGCCATCAGTGACAGCAGCTCACTGGAAAAAAAGGAAAATCCCCCTATTTACTTACACTGACTGCAAGCATCACTGAAATGTAGCTTGCTATTTTTTCTATGTCATGAGAAATATCATTGCACATCATCTTGAAATATTTTAATATCATTTTAAGGCTGTATTGCCCACAATAAATGGTGTAAAATAATATTTTAAAAAACCATAAGGCACTCTAGTATTTACACGAGTTGACCTTATCAGCAAGTGTGCAACAAAGTGCATTTTTTTACTATGTCAGCTTGCTCTCAGGTCCCACTTAATGAAAGGTTGATTAAACCAAAACCTTGTGTAGCTCCTTTTGGAGTTCTTTAATTATAGTGTGAATAGTTTTATTCTGCTCTTTCCAGTCATTTCCCCCCCGTCTGCTAATATAAAATATGTGCAAGACTTTCTGCGCTAAAACCTGAGTACAATTTTTTATAAGCCACAGTGCATTAAAACGAATAACGACACGGAACATACTCGGGCTTAACCAGGCGAACCACTGTAAACCCACTTAGATCCGGAGCGGACAACTCCGCCCGGACGTTTTTGAAACCATCTCATAGCTCGGTCTTACGGCCCTTATTGGCGGATGAGTCGGTGAACCGTGAAATGCAATCCATGAGGGAGAAATTTAATTTTCAGATAACAAGAGGACAGAGGGAGCCTCACATTGAGTTTCTGTCTGTGGATATCAAATCAAGTTACTTCATTTGAATAAGACAAGCGTGCACAGTGGAAGGACAGGAGCTCATTGAAGAGCATCATCGTTTCCCCTGGCTAAAGCATCGCCACGCTGACCACAACAAAGAACGCGGCCTTTCAGCAGAGGGAATTAATGCCAGAGTATTACGGTCACTTTTCTTTCGTGCTGTTGCGAAAATCTAACTAAAACACGTTGCCAGTTTAGATGAGCTTTGCTCACACCGCCTTATGCACAGCAGCAATGCCAGTAGGCTGCATAAAGCCACCCACACACACATACACACACAGTTTGAAAATATTAACATTTGTATTACGACTCTTTGAGGGAACATTAAACATAAGTCTTGAAAATCCCTGTTAGCAACAGTTTGTTTTTTTTCTAACATCCCCCGTGTCCATATAACCCATTCACAGAGAACACTGAGTCTTAATATACAGTGAAGGATGTTTAAACCCTGTTTATCTTTATTTTACACGGGAAACCTTTTTCTCCACTATCTGACTTTAAGACAACAGTAGACATGCCGAGTACAAATCTCTGTGACTAAATCTGTTTACTTTGAAAGGTCAAGGATTTAACAGATGAATCCAAAGAGGTCAAAGGCCATCGAGTGACTAAAGGCGGAAATCCATTTTTGCCTTCTTTGCTTTTCTCATTACCTTTGTTGTCGTTTTTTAAATAAATGTATCCCATAGCTGAGAATTAAAGGCTCTTTCCACGACATACTGCATTTACAAAAATATTTCATCTTTTAAAACCTCCTTAATGTGATACACTGCTATATTGTATTACACTGTTATATTCTTATACAGTTATAATGCTTTTTTAAGGACTCCTTAGCCCAAAAAAGGAGGATTTGATGATTTTAAGTAATCCTTTTTTTGGCGGTGACTATTTTCAATGTGCAAACCTATAGAATACAGTGTCAGTGTGAATATACAGTATACGCTATTTCATTTTTATAGTATTAAAAAAGCTGAAAATGCTGCAATGTTAACATTTATTCATTTTAAAGTCCTTCTTTCCAAGTGTTACATAAGTAACACTATTAAAACTAGTATCTTGCAGTATGAAGTTTCAAAAGTAAAAGGGTGCATTCATAATATCATATTGTTTAGTGCTGTGTTTTACTACTAATCTTCCAACATCTAAGCTGCATTTACCTGCTGCTGGGATTCAACACATTTATCTGCTTTTAGGCAGTTTGTCCTGCAGGAACACGTCACACAATAGAAGCTGTTAGTATTACTGTGTAGAAAAACCTTAATTTGCACACAAATCGCCAACCAAATAAATGTAGGAAAGGAAAAAGCTCAATATTTAAATGTAAAGTACTAAAACTGAATTATTCAAGTACTTCATCAAGTACTTTGGTTGATGCAGTGAAGAAATATCAAGAAAAAGAAAACATAAAGCAAAAGTGAGTAAAAATATAGTCATTTTTTTCCTTTTAAATCCTTTTAAATATCTTGAGACTCCCTTTTGACCCTGAGATTAGTCGGCAGATGATCAAATGCCAGTGCAGCTCTACTGTGTGAATCTTACGCATTTTAAAGTAAATGGAGCATAGTTCACACATCAGACCTACTTGCCATTGATTTGACTCTCCCCCTGCCGATGGCACATTAAGAGACTGTAGTTTCATCTACATCAGAAGTCCGATAGATACAGGATTAGGAGGAGGAGGAGGCGGCTCTGCCTGGCTGTCTCACAGGCTCATTCAGAAGAAGGACATGGTGTAGCGCTGTCATCATGAGGGAAACAGCCCCGAGGCTGGAGCTCTCGGGGACCTAAGCTGCTGTGCTTCAGATAGTGCATATAACCAAGTCCACTTTCCTGGAGCAAATCAGCAGTTCCACAGTCTTACACCACCAAACAAACGCTAACCATCCTCCACCACCACCAACACCAACACCTCGCTTCTCCTACACGCAGGTTCGGGCTCCAGCAGTTACACAAACACCCACATCCACTACTGTTTCGCGAATATATTGGGTAGGAAAAAACGATTAACGTTATAATCACACTGTTCAACAAAATAAAGAAAATACATACAAATGACTCGCCTCTTGAAGATCGTAGTTGGCCACGGTGGTGGTGGTGGTGGACAGTGTTAATCTGACAGCATGCCGTAGCAGGAGTGCAGGCTGCGATATGAGAAGTAGGAAATAAAAGGAGAGATCCTCAGCGGGGAAACGAGTGGAAAACACCCGACCATCCTCACTCAATCGGGCTTTTTCGGAGCTGCTAGTTAATATCAGTATCATTAGGAGGCTCGTATTACAGCCGAGTTGTTAGAAGCAGCCTAACCACCGACCCTGTCATCTCCAACTGTGACTGAAACACAGCAGCGATTCACCATTACCTCGCGTGTCCCGTTGGAAATAATCACCCACTCAATTTGAAAAAAATTAAATAAAATAATAACAATAAAAATCTCCCGTCCGTGATGTTTGTTTCTTTTCCCGATGATCAGTTTCTACTCGGTAGAGCTGCGGACCCGGGGAGCGATCCGTGGACCAAACAGCCCACAGTAGCTGGAGACATGGTGAACAAATCGGTGAGCGGTGACCTACTTCCGAAGTGGCAAGCTGGAGATAATATTCATGCGCTGCCTGCATTCGCATTCGCCGTTGCACCGGGACATCCCCGTGTAAAATCACGGTCACGTTACTGTAATATTCCTACAGGGACTAAACGGTGTCATCGTGACAGTTTTTTCCACACTTCCTCGTGGTTTTTCTTTGCTTTTTAATTCTTTAAATCTTCTGTGCATATGCGCCAAAGACAAGTGCAATTTCCCCATTTCCCAAACGTCGGTCTGTTTTATGATGCATTTGTACCAAATGAAACCAGCTCTATTTTATGTCCCAAAAATAAATAAATAGAGTTATTGATAAGTAAGTTTTCCCTCTGCCTCATTGGCTGCAAAGCAAGAGTGAATGTACTGAAACCTGACTGACTTTCAGCCATTAGATGGTCAACTTGAAGCCGCACATCCACAAAAAGCGCAAGTTAAACATAATAAAAGCAAGTGGGCATGAATAAAAGATGTGGAATATTAAAATATTCTAGCCATAAAGACCATATCATCACCCAATTCAACTACAAACTAAATCCTTTGTGTAGTTTACTATATAAAGGATTTCAAGTTTCAAACGACTATTTGAATAATTGTTTTAAAACCAGCTGAAAATACAAGTATACGTCCATCTAAATGTTTCATCTTAATGTTCCCACAGCTTCTATACAGGCACATAATGCCAATAGGTACTATTCATTGAATTTTTAACAAGCCTTTGTTCAAATACAGAAGAATGCTTATTACAATAGCTTTAACAACTCATTGCGTATAAAACAAAATAAAACTACAGTAACTAAAACTTTCTTGGGTGCAAAAGGCATAGGAATATTCTAACATGCAGCCCTGCTATAGGTTGGATTGTGTTCTGGTTTTCTTTTAATAATAAAATAGGGATACATTCAGTTCAACTGCTTGTTAATGCAAATATCGAATCAGCCAATCACATGGCAGCAACTCACCGTGTTTAGTCATACAGATTTGTTTGAGATGACCTGAAGATGACAAACTTCTAGCCAAGCTTTAGAATGGGGAATAAAAGTGATTTAAGTCAGTCTGAGTGTGGAATGGTTGTTGGTTGTCTGGTTTAAGTATTTCACAAAACTGTTCATCTCCTGGGATTTTCTCACGTAACCATCTCTAGAGTTTAGAGAGAACTTCAGGAAAAGAGAAAACATTCAGTGAGTAGCAGTTCTCTGGGTGAAAATGCTTATTATATCTGCTTATTAAAAAATGTCTGTTTTTAAAATATTTATTTTCTTATGCAGAGAGCAAAGAACTTTGTTTGTGTAAACAAACTTAACCAAATGAAGATGAATCTGATTCTAACTCAAATCATTTATAATACAACCAAAGTGTGCAGACAAACATCTCTGAACGCATCACGTGTCCAGCCTTGAAGCAAGTGGGCTACAGCAGCAGAAGACCACACCAGGTGCCACTCCTGTCAGCTAAGAACAGGAAATGTCAAAATTAGACAGCAGAAGACCGGAAATATGTTTCCTGTCTCATGAGTCTTGATTTCTCTTTCATTAAAATGTTAAGGTCGAATTAGAAGTAAATAACATAAAAACATGGCTTCATCCTGCCTTGTTTCAAAACTTAGGCCGATGCTGGTGGTGTAATGATGTAGGGGACATTTTCCTGTTACACTTTGGGCCCCTCAGTACCAACTGACCATCAGTTGGTACTAACACCACAGCGAGCAGTATCGTTGATGGCCATGCCCATCCCTTTATGACCACAGTGTACCCATCGTCTGTTTGCCACTTCCAGCAGGATGACACACCATGTCACAAATGTGAATATATGAATATAACAATGAGTTCACTGTATTCAAGCGGCCTTCAAAACCAGCAGCTCTCCGTCTAATAGAGCACCTTTGAGATGTGGGGGAAACAGGAAATTCGCGTCCTGGATATGTAGCCGACAAATCTACAGCAACAATATGGACCCAAATCTCTCAGGAATGTTTCCAGCACCTTGTTCAATCTGTACCACAAAGAATTAAAGCAGTTCAAAATGCAAAACCCAGCAAGAGCAAGATGTGCCTAATAAAGTGGCTGTGACTTTATATGAAGCACAGTTTATCTGTAAAGAAGCACAAAGATGAATTGCATTAAATGCATTCATGTTAAACTGTATTCATTTAAGTAAAAGCTACAAAATATCACAACTTCCATCCATGTGTTGACAAAATAAGTCATCTGAACAGATCTCGTTAGAGAAGAAGAGACATTTTAATCAACATTGATAACATTTACATAGAGCCCCAGGAAAAACACTAAATAATACGATATATTATGTAATGACGAATATGCAATGAGCTATAAATTCATCATGTTAATGCCTAATGTAGTAGGTTAGTAATGTTTTTCTCATGAATAACATCAAAAAAATAGAAGCATGTATCCCTCTTAATTAGGCTAATTTACTGTATCCTCTGCTCTGAATGAGACATTCAATCTAAACATGACTGATCATTTGCTGCTCATCATTTATTACCTCTTAACACAGATAAGATCGGCCCGTTGCGATACACACAAATTACGGACTATCACTGACGGCTGCTGGACTCACTCAGTGGGCGTTCAAGTTAAAGAAAAGCTTAACGGACGGTTCAATTTTGTTTTTCCACAACAGCCTGATTGGAAAGCCACCATGTTGTCAAGTTACTGACAAGTCAGAATCAAGCTTAACTGGGATAAATGCTGTCCTCGCTGATATCAGCTTTACAGTGTGTAATTAACAGCTGCAAAGGACCTGAGTGTGTTGAGCTAATGAGGCGTGAGCACCGGGGGGAGCTGAGGGAGAATGGACTGCTGAGAGGTGACCTGCGCTGCAATAAACACGCTGCAACACACTGCGGAGAGGTGCAGGGCAACAACTTAGAGGGCTAAATGCTTCCTACATGCAGGATGCACTCACTTACCCGCTCAGTGCTGATCTATAGACATACAGCAAACATCTCAATCATTTCAGGAGAAGCAAAACAAAACAAACCCACCAAAACATTTTACCAGAAGAGACGTTTGTAATGTGAAAGAGGAAGTACGTCCTTTTCCACTACAAGGCTTTTATATATTAGGAGATAATTAAAAAAAAAAAAATCATTTGGTCCTTAGCAGGATCTGAAATGATGTAAACTCAACCTCAGATGAACCACAACATGACATACTACACCGTGTCATTACTTATTTAGCAAAATGAAGAAGAAGCAGTTTGTGGAAACTAAGTACACCCTTCCTGCTTTTGTAGGAATTATTGGATAAGTAGCATCCAGACTCTTAATCAAATGCACTTATTTAACTGATCACCAGCAAGTGAACAACTCTATGAAAGCAGATGTTCTGGCAGTTTGCAGGTCTGGTGCTTTCAGCAACAGAAAGTCAGTCAGCTTCACTAAGATTGGAAAGGCTAATGTCTCCTCGTTAAGACGTTGATCGATTGATGATCTAAAGTTAATCTGGGAATGGATGTAAAACCATTTACAAACAATTTGAAGTGAAACAAAAGATTATTCACAAGTAGAAAACATTAAAGGCATTTGCCAGTAAGCGGAAGATTGCACAGCACGTTTGATGAAAACCTAACGCAGCATATCAGCACGAACACCTCATAAAACTATGGTGGTGGTGGAGTGGTGATGGTTTAGGCTCGTTTTGCAGTCGCAGGACTTGGTTATCTCGCAGTCTTTGAATTGACCTTGAATGGTTCCGTATACCAAAGTATTTACAGAGTCAAATGTGAGGCCAACAGCCATTCTCTTGTAGACCGGCTCCTTTAAATAATCAAGATGTTGCAATGGCCCAATGAAAGTCCAAACTTCAGCCCAACTGAAATGCTTTGACAGGATCTTAATAGAGCTGCGTATGAATCAGTTCAATTGTACTTATATAATGCCAAATGACAACAAAGATATACCAATGCCAACAAACCTCAATGAACTGAAGCAACTCTTTAAAGAAGAGTTTGGAATTCAAACTGGGGGTTTTTTTTTTTCATGCCAAATGTTTATTTATACCCTCAGCAGACACAAAGTACTTACAGAGCACTCATTCACTGGAGATGAGTTTTTAGTCAGTTCTAAAAAAAAACTGGCCTGAAACAAACAAAAAAATCATTTATTTGTTCTTTTCTGGTCTCCAACAAGTCCTCAGAGGAGTCATTTTCTAGCAGATAAATACTAGAAACTAAGAATAATGTCCCAGTGCAGTTAGGCTGCACACAGTCATTTGAGCCACTTGTTGTTGTTACAACAAAAATATTAATTATGGCTGCTCTAAAGAGCTAGTTAATGACTGGAATAATTGTTATGAGATTTTCAATCATGTCCCACTAACTGTGAGCCAACACCTTCAGTCCTACAGCCATATTTTTATATAACCAGTGTGAAGCAACCCAAATGTGATTTTTTTTTTTTTTAAATCCCCAAACTAAAACATCACTACACCAGGAGACTAAATATTTGTGACAGGCATCAATATGTTCAGGGAGTGAAGCCCTGATGAGACATCATGCAGCGAAGGTACTGCAGGTGGGCTGAGAGGTCATTTCTCATAAACACACACAACACACTAAAACATTCAGTTAGAAAACTCTTAACTGAATATTTAATCATAATTAAAAGTTTTAAGTTATAAATTCTATATGATCAAATACTTTGGGAATTTAAAAATAAAATCACTTGAGTTGGTTGTGACTAAAGGTTTGGGTGGGCTGTGGAAGATTTTCACATTTCAAGCTTTGCTGTGGCGGACTGGCAAGGCAAGGCCAGCGCAGTTAGGAAGCCACACTTAGATGTGAATGCACTGCCTAACAACAGTGACACAGGCACAAATAATACCTTCAGGTCAGATCTTTAAGAATAAACTTGCAGCAAAAAAACAGGATACAGAAATGTACGATTTAGGCCTTTTGAGTTGAACTATGCACTCAACCTATTATGTCACCACATGGGTTCAACACAGTCCGTGGGGGGGCATTTGATTCAGATCGGTCATGTGCCCTTTGCCCAGCTGCCTGACTACGCAATGCTGGTTTTGTGTCCACAACTCGCTTT